ATGCCTTATTTTTTATCCACTCATCAAATATATGAGTTGTTGCCACTTTTTGGCTATAATGCTCCTGTGAATGTTTGTGTCCTTATGAATGGTAAAAATCATCTTGTTGGCCAAGGATGGTGGCTCATGCCTATAATTCAAGCACTTTTGGAGGACAAAATGGGTGGACAGCTTGAGCTCAGGACTTCGAGATCAGCCTGGACAACACAGTGAGACCACATCTCTATGAAAAATATGAATTTAAAAGTTTGCTGGGTGCAGAGGTGTGCACCTGTAGTCCCAGCTACTGAGGAGGCTGAGGTAGGAGGATCACATGAGCCCAGAAGGTCAAGGCTGCAGTGAGCCATGATTGCGCCACTGCACTCCGGTCTGGGCAACAGAGCAACACCTTGTCTCTAAAATTAAAAAAAAAAAAAAAAACAGAAATAATCTGAATGTCCATCAATAAGTGATTAATGAAATTATAATGCACTATATTAGGGGATTTTACTCAGCCATGAGAATAAGAATGTAAAATCTATACCTGTTGGCCTGGAGGGAAGCTCATGATTCTCTTCTAAGTGAAAAAAGCAGCATGCAGAGTGATGGGGAAGAGCCTATTTTTGTTGCTAAAACAAAAGCCCCACCTGTTTATCAAGTGTATGTTTGCAGGGACACAGAGAAAGGGCTAGAGATGAGGGAAGTAGAAGAGGTTTTTCTTCTTCATACACCTTTGAATTAACTTGCTAAAATAGATCATTAATTTTTTTTTTTTTTTTAGACAGAGTCTCACTCCATCACCAGGCGCCAGGATGGAGTGCAGTGGCACGACCTTGGCTCACTGCAACCTCCACCTCCTGGGTTCAAGCGATTCTTCAGCCTCAGCCTCGCGAGTAGCTGGGACCACAGGCACGTGTCACCACGCCCAGCTAATTTTTTTATATTTTTAGTAGAGACGGGGTTTCACCATGTTGGCCAGGATGGTCTTGATCTCTTGACATGGTGATCCGGCCCTCCTTGGCCTCCCAAAGTGCTGGGATTACAGGTAATTCTTATGTAATTAAAAATTAACAAAGAAAGTCCAGGCATGGTGGCTCACGCTGGTAATCCCAGCACTTTGGGAGGCCAAGGCAGGTGAATTGTTTGAGGCTAAGGAGTTTGAGACCAGCCTGGCCAACATGGTGAATCCCCATCTCTACTAAAATTACAAAACTTAGCCAGGCATGATGGTGCACCTCTGTAATCCCAGCTACTCAGGAGGCTAAGACACAAGAATTGCTTGAACCCAATAGGTGGAGGTTGCAGTGAGCCAAGATCACACCACCATACTTCAGCCTGGGTGGCAGAGCAAGACTGTCTTAAAAAAAAAAAAAGATAGAAAATATTAACAAAAACAAATTAAAGGAGGAAGAAAAAAGAACCTACTCAGAAACATCAACCCCTTTCACTTGATTGTTCTGTGGATTGAAAAGTTCATGACTTGTAGTACCTATTGATTACCCTTCCTCTTCCAATGGGGCATGAGAAAGAAAATGGGGTGGGCTGGGACAGGGGAGAAGAAGTTGGGAGCTGCAGGTACATGAGCCTAAGGGATGTGGGGTGCAGGAGGGAGGGAGGGAGGGGGAGAGAGAAAGCAAGAGGGGGAGAGAGAGAGAGACAGAGAGAGAGAGAGAGAGAGAGAGAGAGAGAGAGAGAGAAAGGAATGGAGGTGGCAAAGAGGCTTAGAGAGAGGCTGAGGGAACGAGTGAGCTTGTGCTGTGTTTGGCTCCAAGCCATATCGGAGGCAGGGGCCCAGGAGGAAGAGCATCTGGTGAGAGCAGGTGGCTTTCACAGCCTCTGAGTATCTCCTGGGGCTGTCCAGCAGACCCCCAGTCCAGAGGAGCCTGCCAGTCTTAATGAAAACCTCGCCATAGGCCTTTCAGGTATTAAGGAGTGGGTAGGCAGTTCATTTATTCATGTAATAAGCGTCTATCCCATGCCTGTCCCCTGCCACGTGCTGAGGAATCAGCCTGTTTAGGACAGACCTGCCCACCTGGAGCTTCCTGTGTGCCAGGGGGACAAGGCCTCAGTGCTGGTCACTCTCTGTTTCCACTTGTGCATAGCTCGGGCTGAGTCTGGTGCTGAGGGCTGTGCTGTCAGATAGGCTCTGACGTGGAGCACAGCTACAGCCCTGAGCCCAGCAAGCTGCCTGGGACCGGGGTGCCCCAGGTGGTGGGGCTGGGGGTGGGGGTGGGGATGCCAGTCTCAGAGCTACAAAAGCATCCTCGGGGTCCCTGGTCAGCAGTGGATGGGACAGGCCCAGGGACATCCTTGTGCCAGCCTCCCAGGACTGCCCACTAAGGGTCATCTTCCACAGAAGCCTGACAGCTGTGAGACCAGCCTGAGCAGGAATGGGCACTGAGGTAGCTTAGGGGGCTTTCTAGAGGTAGGCAAGGCCATGGACTTTATCATGCAGCCCTGCCGGTTCCTACAAAGCCACAGAAGGGCTGGCAGGGGCTCATCCCCGGGAAGGCCTCTGCCCCCACCCCCAGGCTCAGGACCTCTGATCCCAGGCAGGGCCTCTGCCCCTGCCCCCAGGATCAGGACCTCTGGTCCCCTGCAAGACCTCTGCCCCTGCCCCCAGGCTCAGGACCTCTGGTCCCTGGGAAAGCCTCTGCCCCCACCCCCAAGGCTCAGGACCTCTGCCCCCACCCCCAGGTTCAGGACCTCTGGTTCTCTCCAAGGCATCTGTCCCCGCCCCAGGCTCAGGACCTCTGGTCCCTGGGAAAGCTTCTGCCCCTGCCCCCAGACTCAGGACCTCTGCTGTAAGGACAGTTCCAGCTGGCCAGGGTCGTCTGGCCTCCCACAGGAACCCGGCAGCCACCCTGTGTACCCCCGGGAGTACACAGCCAGGTCTGGGATGGCCAAGGGACCACACACAGTCAGAAAGCCCACACCTTGGCTTTGGCACACGCTGATCAGAGAGCACAACACAGCTACCCAGGAACAGGCCAGCAGCAGGCCAGGAACCCTAACCTATGTGTGGTCCTCCACAGTCACCCTACAAACATGGCACTTTGACTTTTTGGGGACAGAACCTCTCTGCTTCCCTCTGCCTCCCAGGCCACACCCCCTCCGCCCATGATAGTGGGATTCCCCAAGTTTAGTCTGGCCCGCACGCACCTGCTGCACCCACACATCCTGGCGCATCCCCTCTCAGAGTGGCTACAGATGCCTCCTGAGTCACCATTAGCAGCCTGGCCACCAGCCCTGACCACCCTGCTGCCCGTGGGCGGATACACATCACACAAGCTAGGTCACCTGGATGACCACGGGGCTGTGATGTGCCTGGCATGCTGCCTGGTACAGAGGCACCTGGTGGGGTGGTTTGCAGTCAGAACCTTGGAGGGAGAACAAGTTCACACAAGGCAGCCTCCGCATTGTCTGGCTGGCCTCCATGCAGTTAATAAACAATGTCTGCTGCAAGAGTGTGGGGCCGCTGCCCTCCTCGCCCGGGTAATTAAAAGGCCATCTTTTAAGTAATTAAACGGTCAAGTCTGCATGGCTAAAGAGGTGACGGCAGCTCCGCTCCTCCCCAGGGCGTGTGCATGTACATGGGAGTGTGTGTGCGTGTGGGCAAGTGTGTGTGCACGAGTGCGAGTGTGTGTGAAGATAAGCATGTGAGCTATTGTGTGCACGTGTGTGTACATGCAAGTGTGAATGTGTGCGAGTGTGAGAGCATGTGTGTGCATGTGAGCAAGTGCATATGTATGTATGTGTGCACATGTGGGTGCAAGAGACTGTATGCAAGTGTGTGTGTGTGTGTGTGTGCGTGTGTGTGTGTACTCTGACTTGGAGCAGACCAGACAGTGTCAGCTCTTGAAGTGGGGTTTAGGCCACAGCTGCCCCCAAGGACCTTCAGCTTCTCCCGTTCAACTGGCTCCAAGCAGCATTTCAAACCCACAAGTGTCCACCAGCTTCTCTGCTCCCACGTTCCGAGGAACATGGATGAATCTCGATAGGGTCAGCAGGTGAAAGCCTGAGCTCCGAGGGTGTCAGAGGGACCGGGCAGAGGACTGCCACTTCTCCAGCCCATCTGTGGCCATCCCTTCCAGGCTGGGCAGCCATGGTGCTCCTCAGGCCAGTGTCCCAGCCAGGCCTGCATGCCCTCCTCCCACAGGGACTCTCTGCCTGCCTGCTCTCCGCTGCCTCACATCCCACGTCTGTCCGAGGCAGCACTGTCAGGGGGTGAACCACAGGCACAGAGGTGTACACAGCATATGGCAGGGCCAGCGAGAAGACGATGCTATGAAGGAGCCGGGTGCAGAGGAATGAAGTAACAGCCTGCCCCCAGATCCCAGCTCAGCCACACCTGCCAAGGGAGCCCCTCCTGTCCTCTGAGCTGCGGGTTCACCCATCTGTCAATGCAGTCATTAAATAACTGCCCTTCCCACCTTCTGAGCCTGCTTTGAGACCAGGAACTTTGAAATAAAACCACAAACATCAAAGCCTCATGAAAGCTGTGGAGAGCGGTCCACAACCAGGTTCTGCCACCATTTCCCACTGGGGCGGCTGCCTGGGACACACACACCTTAGTGTGGCCACCAGAATGCCTGGGCACTGGGCCCAAAGCCCCCTTACTCATCAGGACCAGGGAAGCCAGGAGTTCCCCCTGACTGAGACACAGTGCCAGGAAGAGACGGTGCGGGCCAGCCCAGGAAAGATGCAGGTTTAATACACACCACGTTTCTGTGAAGACACAGTGCTGCTCATGGCCTCCTTGCTCCCGAATCAGTACTTGCATGTGAAACAACCCCCAGGGACCCTCCCACCACCCTCCTGCACAGTCAACCATCCCTTGCTGGAAGTCCCCGCTGCTCAGGAGCAGGTATGGAGCTGAGGGCACAGGGAGGGGCGCATCACCAGAATGAGCCTCGGGGATGGAGGGCATGGGGGGACTGGCCTCGTGCCTGCAAACTGCCAGGATGGCTTGACAACCCTGACTTCAGAGGCTACCTGGGAGAGTGGTGGAGGGGACTTACCTTTTCCTCGGGCCCAGGGGTAGATGCGGCTGCTCTCGGAGCTTCCGGTCTCTCGCTCGGCCGGCTCCACAGGCAAATGCCGGAGGTGGGGATCATCAGCTCGGCCAGGGGTCTTCAAGGGCAAGATATACTTGGGGAGCCCTTTGTAGAACCAGGCCCCTGACCTCTTCCAGACCTGGATGGAGAAGAGAGCTGCCTGGAGCACAGGATGCAGAGGGGCCTCCCCTCCTGCTCCTTGCCCAGAGGACGGGAGGCACGCAGAGAGCCAGTAGCAGTGTGGGAGTGGGAACTCTGGCTCTGCCCTCGCTGGCTGATGGGCTGGGCAGTCACTTACCTTCCCAGAACTCAGGACAACTTGGAGCTCAGTTCCATGAACTCTCCAAACTTTCTTTCTCTCCCTTGTTTTAGAGTTGAGGCCTTGCTCTGTTGCCCAGGCTGGAGTGCAGTGGTGCAATCATCACTTACTGCAGCCTTGACCTTCTGGGCCCAAGCAGTCCTCCTGCCTCAGCCTCCTCAGCAGCTAAGGTCACCGTGCCTGGTTTCACACCTACTTTAAAGACAAGCCCACGTCCTCTTGTTTCTCTCTTGCAGAGTGGGGACCTCAATACGGGCCTGGCATGTGAGAAATGTTTATGAAAACTGTCTGCCATTATCGTCCCTATCCTCCACCACTCAGGATCCCAGAGATTGCCTAGTCAGACCCCTGCCCATCCCTAGTCCTTCCCAGACTCTACTGGAAAACATCTAGTGATGGGAAGCCCACAGGCCACCAGGCACTGCCGAGTTTCCACTGGATCTGCCAGGGACCAGCACTTCCTGCCCACCAGCTGACCTCCCTGGCACCTTCTCTCACTGGCCAAGGCAGAGGGCTGCACGGGACGGACCCTCCCAACCACGAGTACCTGCAGACACCTCCCCAGCCCCCAAGCTCTCCTCAGTGCCACACCCAGACCCGAAGCTTCTCAAGGACAACACCCCTGGTCCCTCAGCTATTCCAAGCTCCCTCTCATCGAGCCACCCCCTCTCGCCAATGTTTGTCACTACCCCTCAGGAGAGGGGCTCAGAAGTGGCCACAAAGCTCCAGACTTGTTCTGGCTGCCCCCAGGGCACAGCCACCAGCTTTCCACCTCTCTCCTGCCTGGGTTCTGTCTTCCTCAGGCCCTGAGCCTCCCAGGAGCTCCTCTTGACTCCACGTAGTCCCACAGGGCCTCTGAGAGCCAGGTGGGTCCAAGGGTGCCTGCCAGGACCCATGCAGATGCAAAGCGTCCCTTTATCACTGACCTGGGAAAGAGAGGAGTCACCCTAAAGCTGGCAAGACAGACACCCCCGAAGGCTGGCAGAGCCCCAGGAAGCTGGGGATGCTGACCCTGAATTCTGGGTCTCGGATGCACAGCCCCTTGGGCTCTGACGGGTCCTTCTCTTTCTCTGTCACCCCCAGCTTGGACATACAGGCTCCCTACTCCTATTGTCCCTGGAAGCAAGGTTGAATCAATGGCAGCTGCCACATACTGGCTGTGTGGCTTTCAGTGAGTTGCTTACCTCTCTGAGCCTGAGTTTCTTCATTAACTACATTGATTAAATATGATAGCTGCTAAGAAAGTTGAAAGTGCTCATCAGAGCAAATGGCACCCAGAAGGTGTTCACAAGATGCCATCTGCCTGCCTCCTTCCTGCCCCTGCTCCTCCCCCTCAAGGCTCCAGGGCAGAGCCACAGAGGCTGGAGGGAGAGCCAGGCTGGGCCGCATCACAGCAGGTGCCTGCTCTTCTCTGAGGGCTTCTCATGAGACAGTCTCTCCAGCAGGAACAGAAAGGACCCGCTTCCCAGGAGAGCTGCTGATTAGAATTCAGAGCAACAGCTGAGTTAAGGTCTCTAAATTTTTAATGCCTCCTTCAGAAAACACCACATGCTGTATAATCTCTTTTCTGATGAAGGAAATAAATTCAGGGCATTTAGTCAGGAGGGGTGGGAGTGTGTAAAGGAATATTTGGCAAGAAACCTCAACTGACTTCACCCTTTTCAGAGCAGTGCAGGCCAAGGTTCTGAGCAGATGTCCGAATTTGAATCCTGGGTCCGGCACCCAGTACCTGTGTGACTTGGACACGCCAAGCTCCCTGGCCCTCAGTTTCTTTGTGGGTAGGCAAACAGGATCTGCGCTCATCTCACAGGGTGGACTTGAATGAAGCTGAAGCCCCAGGGTCCAGCGCCTGTGGCACAGAGCAACCTCTCCACAGAGGAGAGGCCCATGGGTACCCCTGCCACCCTCTTCCTCCCACCTGGAACACAAATAGCTTTACCACCATTGGACCAATTCCCTACTTGAAGAATTTAAAATCAGAAAACCGGAATCTGCCGATTCTGAGACATTGCTTCCCACTCCCCAAACATCCTCTGTACCACATAAATACTGTGGGATATTAACAAGTGCCAGGTCAAAAAAAAAAAAGGTTTTTAATCACATACACTTGAAAAGCATCAGGTTAAACCAAGTTCCATCACTGCAGGACTTGTCAGAGCCTTTACTATGCTAACGTGCACAGTGTTAGCCGACAGGCAAAAGAACACACAGTGCTCTGGACTCAAAATCTGCCTGGCTGGCTCTCCTAGAGAAACTCGACCTTAGGATGGGTCGAGTTAGTGCCTAGGATAAGACCTTAGGCACTTATCCGGCCAGCACTTACTGTCCACTCGTGAAGTGATGTGTATCGGCCTCTCCAAGGAGGCTTGAGGCACCTCCTCATGCTGCAGAGCCCCAAGCCTGGGACCACCAAGTCCAGACAGGGTCCCGGGGTGGATCCCTCCCTGCCCCTGACAGCCACCCTGAGTGGAGGGCCTGGAACCTGTCTGGTGGGATGGAGGCGTCATGGCACCCACTTTGGAAAACCCTTTCTGATCCCCTCGGAGCCTTCCTACCACACGTATTTATGTGAATGGGTAATGCAGGCACATAGTCTAAACATCCACAGCGCAAAAGTAACCAGTCTCCTCCCCCATCCCCAGAGATGTTTGAGGAAGCTCAGTGATTATCTCTGCTTTTCAGGTGGGGAAACTGAGGCTCCAACAAGTTCAGCAATTTGCCCAAAGCCAGCACATATTCTGTTGGCCTCTACTCCACTCAGAAGGCCCTAGTCCCACCCAGCAGTTTACAGATGCCAGGTGGCTACTCACTAATAAAGCGGTTGAGTGGTGAATAAATCCTGAGTGGGTCAGATGTCAGGGTGGGCTCTCAGAACCCCACAGGCAGGAGGAAGAAGCAAACAGCAGCCACCACGGCCACCCTCTCTCTGGAGAGCTGCTGCGAGGCTCATTAGAGTAGCTTCCCAAGTCCAAGAGGCCACGGCAAGGCCACGGGGGCCATGGGGTGGGGCTGGCTGAGCCTCCCATTGCTCTGAGCAAAGGCTCTGAGCACGCCACCTCCCTGTCCTCTGCTGTAGACTGGGCCTGGGGCCAAGCCCTAAAGAGTCGTCTGTGAATGTCGGGGCCTGCGCAGGCTTCGAACCGCACACCACACTGTCTCCCCCACTTGCCACAGAAGCTTTCTCTTTTTTGCTTTTTTTTTTTTTTTTTGAGACAGGGTCTTGCTCTGTCACCCAGGCTGGAGTGCAATGGCGCAATTGGCTCACTGCAGCCTTCACCTCCCTAGGCTCAAGTGATCCTCCCACGTCAGCCTCCTGAGTAGCTGGGTCTATAGGTGGTGTGCACTGCATTTTTGTATTTTTCTAAATTTTGTAGAGATGGGGTTTCACCCTGTTGCTCAGGCTGGTCTCAAATTCCTGGGCACAAGCAATCTGCCCACTTCAGCCTCTCAAAATGCTGGGATTACAAACATGAGCCACCACGCCTGGCCTCCCCCCAATAACCGCGTCTTTTTCCTGAAAAATACCTACCTAGCATACAAAATTAGCACAATAACAAAAGAGTAAAATGAAACTAGGTCACCTATAATGTTACCGCACAGAGCCAGCCCTGCTGAGCATGGCTGCGTGGACTTTCTTTCGCTCTTTCCCAGGCACACGCACTATTTGTTTTTCGTTTTTTGTTTTTTTTTTTTTCAAAACTTGGCTGAATGACTGTTGGCAGCTGTGGGTCATTTGCTGCAATGCGCCTCAACCTACAGTCTGCTGCCTTCCTGGGGAAGAGGCCTGGGGGTGTCACCCAAGTTCCTGTAATTAATCAAATGGACCTCCTATTTCAGATGGAAAGAGGGACAGAGAGGAAGGGCCTGGCCGGCTGTGCTGGTGGAGGGGAAAGCCCAGTGAGCCTCTCCTGCCTAGCCGCCCTGCCTCCTGTGGCAGACCACAGCCCCAGCCCAGGCCTCAGCCTTGCCTCTGCTGCAACAAGCCATCTCCCATGCCCACCCCACTCAAAAATCAATGCTCAGAGGAGTTCTTTTAGAAGACAAAGAGCACAGGATCCAAAGCCTCAGGGTGAATTGCCATTGGTACTCAGCCATTTGCGGCTGGTCAATCTTTTATTTTTGAGACAGGGTCTTACTCTGCTGCCCAGAGTGCAGTGGCACGATCATGGCTCACTGCAGCCTGGGCTCAAGCAGTCCTCCCTCAGCCTCCTGAGCAGCTAGAACCACAGGAACATGCTACCATGCCCAGCTAAGTCAACCATTTTTGAACTATATAAAAAAATCCCATCAACCTCATACAGTTCACCCCAACATTTACACTCAGCAGGGGCAATGGCCCCACCGGCCTGCCAGGCCATGTTGCTCCCCGGGATCCGTGGGCTGGGCCACGAGCACCCGGCAGATCAGTCACTCGCTGTGAGTCCACCGTGATGGGGCCTCTGCTCTGATTCCCTCCTGCTGTCACTGAGGTCCAGGTGGAGGGTCTGAGGGCTCACCCTGACCGCCCAGCATGGCCAGTGATCTGGACCCGCATGAGCAGCAGTAGGTCCTGAGTCCCAGCACTGGGTGGACCAGAGCACACAGATTTGTCACCTGGTATGGGAGGTGCACCCACCAGACATGCATAAAACACACTGTTGGTATTTTGGAAAATGCCTTCCACAGGGGAGAGCAGGTCTGGGGAAGTGAGGTGCAAAGGACCTCAGCTGGGCTGAGCTCTGAGCTGCAATCCCCACCGCCATGCCAATGCATGCACACCACAGACCTCTCCTCAATGCCTGCCCTTATGCTGCAAAACACACAACAGTTGTCTTCATCAC